ATTCTACACACTGTATATCCCACACACTGTGTATACTACACAGTGCATATACTACACACTGTACACACTGGATATACTGTACTACACTGTACACACTGGTTATACTACATACTGCATATACTCTACATACTGGATATACTACACACTCCATATACTACACACTACACTATACACACTGGATATACTACACACTGTACACACTATACTGTATACACTGAGTATTCTACACACTGTTTATCCCACACACTGTGTATACTACACACTGCATATACTACAAACTGTCTGCTGTACACACTATACTGTACACACTGCATATACTACACACTGTCTGCTGTACACACTATACTGTATACACTGCCTATAGTACAAACTGTCTGCTGTACACACTATACTGTACACACTGCCTATAGTACAAACTGTCTGCTGTACACGCTATACTGTACACACTGCCTATAGTATAAACTGTCTGCTGTACACACTATACTGTACACACTGTGTATACTACACACTTTGTATACTACACACTGTCTGCTGTACACACTTTACTGTACACACTGCCAATACTGTGTATACTGTGCACGCTGTCTACTGTATACACTGTGTATACTATATGCATTACATATTGTATATCCTTTATGTACGGTGCACACTGTACACATACTATATTCAGTACACTTTATTCACTGTATGAACTGTACCTATCATATACTGCACACACTTATATTCTGTCCACTGTATACTACACTATACTCTATACAGTGTATGTATATTGTACACACTGTCTGTATTGTAATCAATAATATGATAATATAATATATATATAATATATTATATTATATGAATATATATTGGATTCACTGTACATACTCTGCGATGTGATCACAGAGCCCTGATTGGACCCTATGAAGTTTGTTAAGTGAGCACGTGAGGAAACTCACAGTAAAGGCTATCGCAGTAATGTAGCCGCGAGGCGATGAAGGCAGGAGTCAGGGTTTCTGCAGGACTGTCATCAAGAACAGACCGAATGTGGGAGTGTGTTTCTGAGGTGAAAGTAAGAGTCTTTACAGGTGGTTTTCATTTGCGCTTCAAAACAGAGCTCCTGATCAAACAAGACTCCCAGATTTCTCATTACAGGGTGTAATTTGAGGCCTGTAGGGAATTTAATAAATTAGATGTATGTTCCTCGGGATTTATGCACATCACCTCAGTTTTTGTCATATTTAAAAGTGGAAGAAGTTTGAACTTGGCCAAGCCTGATTTTCCCTCACATAGTTTGACAGAATGGAGACGTCAAGGGGAGGATTAGATGAGACAGAGATGTGAAGCTCTATCCCTTTTTGCCAATAAGCCTGCCTAATGGGAGTAAACCGAATACAAACAGAATAGGTCCTAGGATAGAGCCCTGAGGGACACCTGAAGAGAGTGGGACAGTTTTAGACTTATTGAAAAATAATGTATTTTCTTACTTGAGAATTATTAATGGCAACAAAATTGTCCCCGGTTTGAAAAATAAGACTCCAACCATTTGAAAGCTGTTGCAGTCTGACAGATACAGCATTCAGGGCGAATTATAGTAGATTGTGCTGGTCCGCAGAGTCAGACACTGCTGTCAAGTCTAACAGGTCCAACATAGAACTGGAGCCAGATTCCGAGTTTCACAGAAGGTCATTTAAAACTGAGCCCAAGGCTGTCTCTGTACAGCTGGTCCGATACCAGAGTGAAACTGCTCATAGAGCTCTTTTAACTCTTTTGGGTTAGAATTGGTGATTAGTCTCTCCAAGATCATTGAAGGGAAGATGAGGAATGGGACTGCAATTTGCAGATTCTTCCATCCATCCATTTTCTGATTGCGTCATTCAATTCAGGGGCATGGGAGATTTGGGGCCGATCCTGACTAGCAACGGGCACAAGGCGGGATACACCCTGGATGGGATGCCAGTCCACTGCAGGGCACACACAGGCACACACACTCACACCAGGGCCACTTCCCCAAAATCCCATGTTAATCTACCAGCATGTCTTTGGACTGTGGGAGGAAATCCACATGGGAGGAAGCCCACGTGAACGCGAGGAGAACATGCAAACTCCCCACAGACAGCACCCCGGGGTCCGGAATCGAACCCAGGGCTGCGGGGCAGCAGTGCTAACCCATGCGCCACCGTGCCGCCTTTGCAAATTCTGAGTTTTCTAGCTGAGATTTTCTAAGCAGAGAAGTAAGCACAGTCTGGAACGAGACTGGAGGTGAGTGACAGATTTATCACATGTAGTAGAACAGAGGCAAGGGGGCTAAAATTAGACTTTAGAAGATGGGATTGGAGGGGATCCAAGGAACCAAAGGTGGTCTTCAGGGAGGAAGGCAGTCCAGACAGCTGGGCTGTCTTGGCAGGAGCAAGCTGTGAAAGGGAGGAGACAGGGGTGTTGAGTTATTGTGGAGTGTGAGTGTGCACAAGGGGGCTGGCTGCTGCTCTTCGCGGAGCAGATCGCAGGGATAGTGTTTCTTGGGGCAGTTTTAAGTTTGCGTCTTCGCAGTGTTACGTTTGTGTCTCACAGCAGGTTTTCCCTGACCCGGGGAAGACGAGAGCCCTCCGGGGTGACAGGAACCTGTCAGTACTAGAGAATAAAAACCTGGGGTTGTGTTTATTAGCAGTGAACAGTTCAGAAGTATGTTGCTTCTGAGAGTTTAAATACACTAAGCTGTACACACTGTGTATACTGCTTGCACTATATGGCCTACACTGTACAGGCTATAGTGTGGATAATATATGTACAGTACACACTGTACTGCATACTATGTAGTGCACACAGTTTGTGCTATACACACCATTCATTTCACACTATAATGCACACTACTGTACACTCGGTATATGCTATGCTTAATATATTTACACTGACACTGTATAGATAATACTGTATTCACTGTACACAGTGTACACACTATACAGTATATGCTGCATATTCTACGTACTATAAACACTGAAGATAGTGCACCCACTGTACAAGCTGTACACTGTACGCACTACTGTAATGCTGTGTGCACCATATTGTACACACATTTACTGTACACACTAAATACTGTACATAGAATACACTGTATTGTAAGCACTGCACACAGTGCACACTGTAACCCTATTAATACTGTGCACACTGTACTATACTGTACATCCTATCCTGTACACTTTCATTTTCACTGCATGTACACTGTACACGCCTCTCACTGGATATGTATTGCACACTGTACACACACTCCTCTCTGTATGTATATATTTTGTGCAGACTGTGGACAGTCCTCTCTGTATACATACCATACACACACTTAACTATATACTGTGCAGACGGTGCACACTCCTCTCTGTATACATACCATACACACACACTTCACTCTATATATACTGTGCACACTGTACACACACTCCTATCTGTATACTGTATATACATACTGTGCACACTACTGTACACACACTCCTCTCTGTATATATACTGTTCACACTGTACACACTGTACTCTGTATATACAGTGCCTTGCAAAGGTATTCAGACCTTTTAAACGTTTTCAGATGTTGCTGGATTACAAATAATCCTTACACATCCTTTTCCAGTCACGCTTTTTTTATGGCAAACTCACGCACTCAAAATGAGATTTGTCAGCAAACATCAGCA